TTCATAAAAATGTTGGACATATCCGTGGGCGCCGCCATCTTGTTTTAACGCCGAAACGAAGACAGCTGTTGTGGGCGCATGCGCATTTTAAAATGGCCCTGATGATGTTCCGAGTTGGGACGTTTAAGTTGAATTAGACACGGCAGAAATTCGACTTTTGAAGCCGTGCCGCTCTTCTGCCATTAAAAGCGGCAAGACCTGTCGCACTTTTGGCAGAAAGCCGGCAGTTGCTTCAAACGTCGAATTTTTGCAGTGTCTAATTAAAATTTTGAGTCATTATTTGAATTAGACACGGCAGAAGTTCGACGTTTGAAGCGGGCCTTAGATATGAAAGGTTCTGTCGCTTACAATTGGTGTTGATGTCCCACAGGGTTCGATATTAGGACCACTTTTGTTCATTATTTACACAAGTGATCTGCCATCCTGTATCCCACCAAATTTTAACTTGTATAGGCCCTATGTATACAGATTACTCAACTCTAACGTGCAGCTCTTCCAGCATTAATGAAATAGAAAGTAATATGAATGTAGCTCTTGACAGAATTCTACACTAGCGCTCAAGAAACAAACTTGAACTAAATACAAACAAAACCAAATGCGTGCTTATTGGTTTAAGGCAGAAAACCGCCAATACAGAATTGAACTTCTACATTGCTGATAGCCTAATTGTCAAAGAAAAATCTTGTAAATGCTTGGGAGTTATTATTGACGAAACACTTATTTGGGGCCCACATGTTGATTACGTAAGAAAACAGTCTCATCTAAATTAGGTATGTTAAACAGAATCCGGAATCGGACAAAGTAGCCTGCACACACTTTTCATTAGCTTAGTTATGCCAACTTTAGAATACCTTTGCACGGTATGGGGAGGAAGATACATATCCCACGATACTATTCTTAACAAATGTCTAAAAAGAGCTGCACGGATAATCCTCAAATGCATCTCTCTCAGCCCCTCAGCAAATATGTTTGCTACACTGAACTGGGTGCCATTTTCCGAGAGATTTAGATCTAAAAGACTGTTCTTGTTTTTAAATGTCTAAACAAATAAGCTCCTATGTATATGACAAATCTGTTTATGCCATTCATACAGATTCGGGAAACAAGATACTCAGTTAACAAGGCACTTAAAGTCCCTTTATCCAAAAAAGAATGCTACGCCCAAAGTTTTGCGGTGAAAGGTGCAAAAATATGGAACAATTTGCCAGAGCCACTCAGAGGTATAGACTTTAATCCTGCGGGACATTCAAATCAGAACTACGGAAAGCCATGACCAGTGCCGTGTAGTCCCAAATGCTGATTTATGGAGTTGTTAACTTGGTTGGCATTGTTCATTGGAGCCGGATCGGGAATTTCCCCGTGTTCTTTTTTTCCCATAGTTTTTTTTTGTGCAGGGTTTTCGCCCATCCCGTGATCAGTATTTAATTAATGCCTTGATTATTTAAATGTTCACACGTGTATGATATTTTAGTGGTCTGTATTTGTAAATAGTAATGTTCGTCGTATTTGTCAATTTTACTTGTCGTCGTGAGTTTCTAACAATTTTATTAATTTGTAATGATCGCAGGGCCCCAATGCAAGCTAGTTTGTAATTGTTTGGGCATACCCTGGGTAAAACAATGGAATAAATAAATAAACGATCTTTTACCATTAACATTATAAATTGGTACATTGGGCGTTCCATACCACATAACCTGCAAATTGGAGATACGTTGACTCCCTCTATCCTCGCCTTCATCACGTTCGTCTGCAGTGCCTGATCCTGTGCAACTGTTATCTACTACCCCCCATTTCCTTCTTCAAGTCGCTTCTTTTTAACTTCCCTGGGTCTTGTTCCCTGTCGCCTCTTCCATGCCCCCAATTTCCCACGGAGTGGCTCCCCTTCTCAATCTCTAAATCTTTCCTCATTCTTTTCCCTCTTATATTATGCACCGGCGTCCACTTGGTGTACTATATGTTCTTAGCCATTGTCAGCAACCAATCCTGCGCTCAAGAAACATACCCGTAAAGACCTCTCTTCTCAACGGTTACAGTCCATCATGCTCATCAGTGCCTGTCCTCCTTTGGTCCTCGGCAAGTATTGCCTGCTGACACTAGCCCTTGGATGCAGCATACCATGTGTCGTTATCAGCTTTCTCGTCTTCCGGTCAACAGACTCCAACTCATGAACAATCCCGGCGCTGTACCGCACCAGCGACACAAGGCTTTATCCACTACCAACACAAGAGGAGGGTTCCCTCGTTTTCTCCGAACGGCGCAAACTACATTCAGAATTCGCATCTTGGCATAAACAGAAAAAAGCCTTTTTTCTTTTAGCTTGTTATAGCTGAGCTTGAAGACTCATGACAGTACGTTCGATTTGGATGCTTCAATTTTTATTTAAACAGATAAAGTTAGAGAAAATATATTTTCCTTAGAGGTGTTCTTTAAAAGAGGTATTCTTGAAAAACAATCCATTTTGCCCTCCCCCAGGACCGGGATATACCATTGCTCTATAGAGGCATATTTCACGGATGAAAACACGTTCTGATCTACCTCCGTTGAAGAACTGCAGGTTACCATTCCATCCTCGTGGATCGTTGTCGGAATGGTGAAATTTATAATACATCTGGGCGAAATGATAATAAATTTTGGGAGTCATATTCCGTACAAAGATGTCTCGAGCCTTACATAGAATTCATTATGGAATCGATCAAAAGCAACATTCTTATATTAGTCTTCGCAGGGAAAAGACAGACAAAATAAAGCTAAACCAAATCACCCCCCCTAAAAAAATGTCTAGGGACCAAAACCTATTCACAGTTAGAACTTGAGCTACAAATTATGATGCTGTCAACAACCAAAGATTCTTCCTGGTACCAGTTACTATCTGTGCATGGGAGCTATAAAATTCAAGTATTTTATGTTTCCTCTGAATATGTCTTCCATCATAGACTGATTTATAATACATCCGGGCGAAATGAATAGGTCTTCCCTCACAGACTGATTTTATACATTCGTCGAATTTTTGGGCTTCTTTTCTTACTCAGTCTGCAGGTCTTTAAGATTCAGCGTAATAAAAATATTGGAAACATACTCTTTTATTTAAATCACCTATTTAATTCAAATTTTACGTCTAAAGGATACACACAAGAATATCACAGTCCAGTGACAGTTCACGATTATGTATGACTGAGGTTTGAAACACCGGAAGCTTGACACATTTTTTATAATTGCCAAAACTTTGCCGTCAAATCTCATCATTTTCTCCAAACCATGCAACATCGAATAAAAACCCAGCCATCTGTTGTCTTTATTGTATGCAAATAGCCTAGCCCTTTGCTGATGCAATATTTTGTGTCATGTGGTGGTGCACAGAATGTCAGTCTTTTTTATCGAAAATGTTGAAAGGTTTATGCAAAAAAATCAAGATCACGTCTATTTAGGCTCCTAGGTTCTTGCAGTGTTGCTGAAGTACAGAAAATTATTTAGCAGAGGCTGCTGGGAGGGAATTACCTAGGGATTTCCTTCTGTGAAAACTGTAGTTATTAGTTCCGAAACATCCTGGCTTTGACATTTGTTTGGAGAGAGAGAGAGAAGTATGAAAATCGCCCAGAGAAGTTACAAGATAACTTATGTTTTAGTATTTTGAATAATTAGAGGGGTAGTCAGTGCATACAGCTTCACATGAACTTCAAAATAACTCATAGAATGTGACAGGCAGAAGGAAACTAAGCACAATACTTGGTGCCCCATTGCGGTGCATAATGTATGCTACATCTCCCCTAAATTCTGAAAGGAATTCCAAAATTACCTACAACACAAAAGAAAACTTAAAGAGGGGCCCCTTTGTCGCATCTCATGCATCATACATGCCACAAGCGCAGAACGAACAACAAAATGAATATCAGCAACAGTGTTCCAGGAATATGAACAGCTGTTTTTTTTCTCTCTCTCTCTACCGTGACGTTGGAATAATAAGCCTGCCTGGCCAACGATTCCCTGACGTGACCCGTACGATGCCAATACGCTCGCCGCTCACAAATACCATTCCACTGTCTCGCTTGGATGACTCCTGAAAAGAGCGTCGCCGCGGAAACCAACAATTGTGTTAACTTTAAGTACTGTGGGGTGAAACTGTTTGAATGACCAGTATTTGACCGATAATGCAAAACACCATTCAGCGTTTGTTGAAGGTGACACACCCTCGCTATGCCCACTCGCAATCGAACGCCCACACGAAAGTGTTTACCTTTTACCATAACAGCTGTTCAGTAACGAGTGGGAAATAAAAAATAATGACATGACAGACTGAGCAGCTATGGAGTGAATATTGGCATTATTATGATACAGGTCATTTAATGGAAAAAGTAGTTTTGATGTGTCACTAGCAAGAGAAAGTAGATATGATCTGTCACATGTACTAGAAGAGAGAAGCAGAACCGGGTGTATGGTTCTCTGCATTGTGGACTGTTTCGGACATCATCCACATAATTTTCGTCCCGACAGGGGTCATATATAATATGTTTATGCAAATAATATAAAAGGCCCCGATTTCAAGGCACTGCAGATAAATTCAAAACGAATTAAATTCAACAAAGGAAATTGAAGAATTGAAATGATGACTTGTTTCGTGAATTGATAAAAAATTGGCAATTTTATTCGCCTTTTTCTTATTCGAACAACTTTTATGACACAGAAACTTTTCCCATAATTTTGCGCGCTGTGATTGTTTTGATAGGATGATGAAATCATGAACGTCGTGTGATATGGTGTGATCGTCCTTACTTCGATCTGCCTATGTCATGAATGATAACGGCTGTTTTCGATTCTCTTTGCTGTTTTGACTATGAGATATGCAAAAGTCGTTGCCAGAACAATTAAGGTATCCAATCAGAATGCGCTACCGATACACACCCCCGACTGACCTCCAATATTGTGCAACGTCTGTGTGACAAGGCGCTTTTCCTTTCAGAATGCACTAAATATTGACGTCACACAAAATCGTTGGTTATAAGGCCAATTTACCCGTCAACGTTTCACATACTTTCCTCGAGTTGCATTGGATGGCCTAAATTCAGATTTGGGTGGGTGATATTTATTGTGGTCACTTTCGACAGAGTAAAGCGGTCGGCCTATTGTGTGCGGATTTTCGGTAGGTAATTTTATTTTAAGTTTTGAAGCTCATGGTAAAGGTAGCAAGTAAGCCAGAGAGAGAGAGAGAGAGAGAGAGAGAGAGAGAGAGAGAGAGAGAGACGACGATATCTCGGCAGAACTTTATGAATAAAAACTATGCAAACTTGATGCGGCCCACACTTAGTACAAAACAAATTGGCAAGTTTTCCCGTTAAACACTGTTACTTTGGCCGCGATAACAGTGTTGTACCAGGGCGACTTAAATCGTTTGTAAATATACCGGTCGAGCAAATAGGCTCTCCTCAATGGCATTATTTAGTCACTGTTAATGATACCTACAAAAAATAGCAACAGTGCGAGAAAATTCATACAAATTGATCAATACCCATATAATTCACAACAAAATGTTAAGCGTACATGTACTCGGAGCACGAGTTTTGTTTTGTAAGGATAGGAATATAGTAGGTTAAGTGTTTACCATTAAACAATTGAATAAGCCATCAAATTTTAGTTCAGTATAACCACTAAAATATCCAAAAAATTACCATCTTTTAATTTGGAAAGATTTCTTCTGGTATTTAATCTAACAATTTTGGAATGTTAGTGCACTGGAGACATATTTGAATGGCCCATTGCGTAATTTGTAAGGTTCTTTACTTTTGGAAATCATTTTTATTATGTTTCCTTTTTTCCTGTATTGTTTTGCTATATGCAGAATTTTTGGAAATTTGTTAGAAATTTTGTATCTAATGATAACAACGTTCAATGATGAAAAAGATAAATTGTTATCAAATAGCAGTTGCATTTTCTTCGATAAAACGTTTCGAGGTACTTGGCTATTTTTATTTAGTCTAATTCCCTGACGACATGTGGTCACTACAGATAGTCACGTAGAAATAAAAACGTTTGTTCCCATCTTTGTTAATTATCACTACGTCACCTGGCAAGATATGGGACGGAGGTGTACCCCCTTAATGGACACTCTCAGGCTAGACTAGTTTCCCCCCCCCCCAAGCCTGAAAAGAATTCCTGACCCTGCTTGAGATTCCGGTCAAACAATGACCAACGCAAAAGAGGGGGGTTCTCTCTGCCCCATATCTTGCTTCATGTGGAGCTTTCATTGGTATCGAACTGAGTACATTTAAATTACAGTACATGTACATGTTCATGTACTGTACATGTACATGTACATGTACAGTGCACATTGTACATGTACGTTAGCATGTGTTTGCGCCGAACACAGTAGCATTTTGTGCATGTCATAGTTGAAATATAAATATTCATGAGCCGAGCCTTCATCAAGAGCCAATCATATAAGGTATATGACGCCACACCTATATTTCGTTGACGTCATCTTGTGTTGAGTTTCTTCACCAGAAAATCAGGATTGCGAAGTCTCTTAAACGTACGATTAAACTCTAAAACCAATGAATTAATTCAAAGTGCTATGGGACCTTTTAGATATTAATTGATTTTGATGAGTGCTCACGTTTTTGCGCTGAAATATTATTATATGCAAATTAGTGGAAAAATACCGCACAAGGTCAAATGCTATCTTTCCGACTTGTCTGGCAACCGTCTCTTTTTGATGTACCATTCTCTATGGTACTACCAACAGGGATTGACGACTCGGTTGTCCGCAGACTATCAGCTGTACCGCCGGCGCAACGTACGTCGTGAGGGCCAGGGGTAGTTGTTGCAACATATAGCACACTCAGCTGACCGGCTGAGAAATTTATTTGACTGACTTACGTTCTGTGAGTCTTTATCAGTTTGATTTGTTCAACTTGGATCTGTCGAAACACCAACATCAACATGTCGTCAATCCTACGCGGGTTTATTATACGGTGAGTCGATAAAGCGCGAATTGCTTGCCTTTTCATTTGGCGGGTTTGGGAAATTTTTATGGCTGGATGGTTGCACGAATCATATGCAGCGTGACGGTGTATGTAGTCGACAGGTCCCTTATTTCGCCACTTACTTGTGAAAACCAATGAGACTTGACAATAGTTGGCGACTATACGGTCACAGACGCTAGATGTGCATGTTTGTTAATGTCAGAGGCCTACTGTTGTGTTGATGTGGTTGATTCGTTTTGCGTTGTATGCTTTAAATTGCCTTTATCATGTTCATGGTCATCCCAACTTTGTCGTTTATCTAGTGCTAATTAAGTTGGGCATGTTGGGGGTACGCCTAGCCCCAGACTGGGGGCCAGTCTACTGGACTCCCTCCGCATTCTTGGCCCCACAACTGTCCATCCAAAAAGTGGAGACTCCACGAAAATGCCCGCTATGTTAATGTACGTGTACATGCCCATGCGCTTATTTATGCTGCCTTGTGGGGTACCGGAACAATGGAAGGTACCCCACAACTTCACAAGGCCAGTTTTGATCCTTGTTGGGTACTAGAGTGGAACCCCACAAGAATGTCATGAAACTGATATTTGGAAATAACTCAAAACCGGGAAATTTTTGATGGGTAAAAATCTGCTACAAATTGAAGTGTTTTATATAAGGGACATATGGTGGAAATTTCAACCCAGAAAAGTGAAGCTGGTTTAAATTGGAGTGATTTGAAATTTTTTGCGTGTTGTGTGTGAGTTTTGTACACGAGAAGAAAGGAAATGGCCCATAAGTATAGCTGTGTGGTGACTGTGCGCGCTTGTGTGTCCAGGTGGCTGCCCGTACTACGCGGCCATCAGTTACAGTGTCATGTTTGGATCATTAAATATTTTTGTAGCAAGTGTTAAAGGTAACATTTTAAGTATAGCACTCAATTTTAAAGTGTAGCAGTAAAAAATAAAGCCTAGCGGCCAATCTGATAGCGTAGCGACAATTCGGTAAAGTGTAGCAGTGCTAGCCTACTACGCTATAACGCTTTGGGGGAAACACTGCACAGTTGTGCAAAATCAGCCATGCAGTATTAGTGATACATGTAAATCTTAATGGGAGGTGACTGAGAGTGGGAGTTTGAATCTGTGGGTCATTATCACCCTTTTCCACCCCCCAAGTGGCAACATTCCTTTTGTTGTTTTTAAAAAATTTAATTTTCCACACTAAATTGCAGTATATACATGTACTGTACATCTTGAAAATGTACTGTACATGTATGTTCGTATTTTTCCTGTTTTGGTGCCACATGCTTGGGAGGTGCCTCATGCTTGGGAGAAACAGTCCAAAATTGCAATACATGTGAGGGGGTTTAAATAGACAAAGATGGAAGAAAAAGGCAAACAAACTTGAATATTTTGAAATTAGATCAGTTTCAAAACAGTAAAGAGGGACACAGAATACAAGATGGATTTATTTTGGAGGGGAAATCTAGAGTACATGTATTGTATTTTTAGACCCTGTTGAATTTATTTTATCCCTTTTTTAAAACACACACTTTGCTTTAGGCACTAGAATTTTTCAAAATTTGTTTGACTACCTCACACATACCGTTACATGTATCAGTACCCCTGGGCATGGCAGATGCTATAAATGTAGTGGGGCACAGTATTTTCACAGTCTTAAATTTTGGGACTGTAATACATGTACATGGTAAATTGTTATTGGAAGCCCTATCCAGTAAGTGCTCAGGCCCATTAGGCAAGCTCGTCCATTTTATGGCTTCATGGTTATCATCCCCATTATGACAAAGGATGTTTCATAGTGAGTGTTGGACTATGCACTATGAACTCAACTCATCCTGAAGAATTTCCAGTCTTATGTATAATGTACATGTATACAATTGTATCTCCCCGCTCTCCCTGGAATGAGGACGGACATTGAAATTTGAAATGGCCAACTATGTTTTTAGCTGGTAGATTTTTTTAGTTACTGGACTTTGACCCATGTATCTGAAATAAGGTGGTGGTGTGTTTGATGTATCCAGGGCAGTGTTAATTCCCTGGAACATGGGTCTCTTAGCAATCTTATATGGACTTATCAGATTGACTTTGTCAGCCAGCTGAGTGGTTATCAGTTATGTAGTACTTGCTTTCATCCTGCTGACATCATATTTAAAGTTTTAATACCAATGGCTGTTGCTTTACTGCCCATTGTTACAGGGGTGTATACTTAATAAGATAACGTCAAACGTGATCAAAGATGATAATTGGCACGTTGTAATGCCAGCAAGCAAGGGGTAACTGAAATATGGCGGTTATGCAGTAAATCTGTAGTATTTGAAAACCAAAATTGTGGGAAAAATGAGAGCAAACTTCAAGTTACATTATGAAATTAGAATTAAATCGCAAAAAATAATTCAATATGTTTAATTTCATTGGGAAAACAAGTTGGGATTAGCAAAAATATCTTTTTTAAAAAAGTGGCCAGTGATTTGTGCATGGATGGATGGGTCAATATCACATATGAATAGCTGCAGCTGTCTTCTGCAGGACAGTTTTTTTAAAACTATTTAATCAAAACAAATGTGAGAAACTTTACACTTTTCATGTACATGTACATGTATGTGACACTTTTTTAATCACGAGGACCCATAGCAATTCCACAAACGCAGATCATGCAATAACTTGTAAGAACCTTCATCAAATAACTTTTTTTGAACTTCATTTGTTCTTTATCACCACAGTTCAGTTCAGTTCAAAAGTAGTTCATGCCAGTTATTGGGCTTGAATAAATAAATACATATACTTGTATCAATTTAAATTTGTTTTGTTGGAAAAATGACGGCCGTTTCTCTGTCTTTTGTTTTTCTGTTAATAGTCAAGCGTATAATTTCAGCAAAACACTCGCCAGTATGCCAGCTTGTAGTATCAGCTCTCAAGCAGCTCCCCTCCCTAAGATAGTCAACGGAAAACTTGATGACCTCCAGCCTCATGTTAGAGAATACGTCTTAGAGAAGGCAGAGATTTGCCAGCCAGATAATGTCTACATCTGTGATGGTTCCCAGGAAGAGAACAAAGCCCTCCTGACACAGATGGAAAAGGAAGGCATTGTCAAAAGACTTGCCAAATATGAGAACTGGTAAGCTGTGCAACATTTTAAAGGCTCAATATCAAAGTCATATTTGTCATCCTGAAATTATGGGTCAGTGAGCTTTTATCAGAGAGACTTGGATCAGTGAACTGACTGTGTGATTTGTAAGGTTCCACTGTGATGTAAGACGCAAATGAAATCTCAATTCTTGACTAAGCGCTGTCAGAAATCTAGACCCTAACACCAATACTCAAAATGAAGAGTTGTGAGCAAGTAAAAGTAATCTTGATTTGAGAAAACTCTTGGTTGGACAAAAACTGGATCAGATACATGTATGTGTACCATCAATCCATAACTGAAGAGAAAGGTTAAGTTTTAACTGGCTCACTCTTCCTCATGATCTTTTGGTAAAAAGTACAAGCTACACGTAAATGTACAATAAAAACTGGTGGCATAGGCTCATAAAGGTAATGTACCTTTTGATAGAAAACACTCACAGAGTTGATTTGTTTTCATTTTGTCTAGCTGGTTGGCAAGAACAGACCCTAAAGATGTTGCCCGTGTGGAGAGCAAGACAGTTATATCAACTCCCTATCAAAGAGATACTGTCCCCATCCCTAGAGAAGGGGTTGAAGGGACTGTAGGCAAGTGGATATCACCGGGAGACCTTCAGAAGGCAATTGATGATCGCTTCCCTGGATGTATGAAGGGTGAGCCTTCTTTTTAAATGTTAAAATCACTGGGTCAAAGCCTTGGTCTTATTTCTAGTTGTTATTCCATTCTGTGAATAAATACCACCTGAGGAAGTGGGCAGCATTATAATTGCAGTCATGGGTACATGAAAATGCTTATTGGAGAGACTTGTTCTTAAAACTTAGTCTGTCTTGGAAAATGGAAAATAAATCATTTGTTTGCATGATTCTTCAGTAGTTTCAAGAAAAAAATCAATATTAAAAATTTGGTTAAAAATTCTCTTAGAAAAGTAGCCTTTTCTAAGAGAAAACATTTCCATTTTCAACATGTTGACAACCTAAGCTTTTGTACAACATGTAGATCTGAACTTCTTTAAGTCATTTGCATGCACAGCTGAATGACTGGTGCTTTTAGGGAAATGGTTTTGTACACGGGATTCCTCGTTGGCACCATTCATACACATGTGGTTCCTTATCTTGCATTGGCATTGAGTACAGGAAGAACGTGGCAGTGCTTTGATTTACATAGAATGCTTACCAGTGTTGAAATGTGGTATGGGCTTTGCCATGATCTAGAATAAATAGGCTGACTCCTCCTACACTGGAGGATGGATGTAGAGCTCATGGGTTCCATATCCTGGTTATGGGGTGATGTCATGACTAACCTACATCCATTCCAGGTAAACCACAACATGTGGGGAAGGTCCACTGATGGTATTACTCAGCATACCATATTGGGAGCTTCCTCTTGGAATTGACGCCATTCCATTTGTCAAAAAAAAGGCTACAGGTCTTGTTTTAAGTTTAGAGTAAGTGGGTGATTTCTTATCACTGTAATGAAAATACAATGCTCATCTGTATGACCAATCAACAAAGTTTTAGCATGTTAAGTGGAAAACCATCAAAATACAGTGCAATAGCAGGATCAAGACATCATTGATGCTAGTCCAGCTTTGTGTGCTTGGTTAAATGTACAGTAAACATGCATAAGGGTAGCAAGACAAATAATGCCTTTCACAGTAATTTCAGGAATTCTGAATAATCTACCAGACAGAAAGAAAACAGATTTCTCATAGAATCAGGTTCCGCATGTACATGTAATGGATCAGGACTGGTTGTTCATGAGTCTTTGTTGTAGGCATTGAGCAAAAACATTATTAAAGATGGTAGTCCAGTTTTATGGCGAGGTAGCCAACATATACTCTGTACATTGTAATTAGTTTGTGGTTTGGCCTTCCTGTGCTGTACTGAGTATTATACAAGCGTGACGTGGAACTACGCGTACATGTACCATTCAATACCTGCAGATTATACATATGGGATTTACCGGTATTTCCTTGCATGTGAGGTCAGCACATTACTCAACAAATTTTTATCCTAAATATACATGTAGAGCAGAGCAAAAGGAACAGGAAACCACTGTCAGTGAATTGGTTTTTGGAACACTTTTGTGACAAACAAGTCCAGCATTGTCAATGCCATTCATTGTCATATTGACTTGTTGCTTCATGGAATGGAAAACAGTTAATAATTTAATTTGATTAAGTTGATATTTTATTGTTAGTTTGTAATTAAAAACACTGCAGTAAGGAATAACTTGTTTACACAAGTTGCATGTCGAATAGGAAAAGGTGGCTATTGCATGCCGGTAGGAACACCACTTTTTAAAAATTTGTTGTTGAATCCTCCCAAAGTACATGTACAAAAAATTGAATGTAGTCATGCAATCCACAATACATGTAGCTTCATGCAAAAACTGTGGTAAAGTGTCCAGGGTTCCTATTCATGCAAAATAATTTGGATAATTATGCTCAGTGGACTTACTAAGAAGGAATCCATTTCGGATTGTGTTCCCTGAATCTACCTGTATCGTATTCAGTGCAATCTGTCAAAATGGGATGGTGCCCAATTATTTTGGATTCTGTGCTTCACTTTCAGTTTGTTTAAAATGTGCACAAAAATTTTAAATCATTTATTGTAAATGACATTAGGTAAAAATATTTTGTTTTGGCATAAAGGGGCTGGATTTAACATCAGTGTGTTGACTCTGGTACTGACATATTATCAACCATAATGATCATCAGTGACTAACATGAATCTGCTTTATTTAATCAGGAAGAACCATGTATGTTGTACCATTCAGCATGGGACCCTATGGATCTCCACTCTCCAAGATTGGTGTCGAGTTGACAGACTCTCCCTATGTTGTAGCCAGTATGCGTATAATGACTCGCATGGGCAAGAAAGCTCTAGATGTACTTGGTGAGGGAGACTTTGTCAAATGTCTTCACTCAGTTGGTCAGCCACTACCCATGACGAGTGAGTTTTTACATGCAAATTACTTGGTTGAAAGTTTTAGTCTGCTGCTTAACAAATTGCTGAGCCATTTTCTACATGAATGTATCATACTAGCCATTTTAGCTACCGGTAACTGGCCCAATGGGCAGTTTGTTTTTTGTAGCCACATTTCCTGCCCTTTGTGTGTATTTGTCAAAGGCACACGGTTCTGTCAATTCAGTTTGACTCCAGTTGATAGTGGCCACCAGCCAGTTTGGACCATTTTCAGGCATACCTGTGTGTCTGTGCAATTTCATTAACTCTAACAGTCCCAAATCCTGCAATTTCAATACAATTTTGCATACACCCTAGGGGGTTAGGGTTAATCAAAGAATTTCAGCATACTCTATAAGAGTAACTAGTTGGCTGCAAAGCAACTGGTCACAAGGCTTCTCCGGTTAATAGCTCTGTCTTAGGCAACCTGTTCACTGAAATTATTCAAAGCTCACTGTTGTATTCTCTTAAATTCTTGTTGAGGCCAATAACTGTAATACTAGTTCAGGTGATGCTGAAATGTAAATTACTTATTTCTCCTACTAGCACCTCCAATCAACAACTGGCCATGCAACCCAGAGAAGACCATCATCTCACACATCCCTGACAACAGAGAGATCATCTCCTTTGGCAGTGGCTATGGTGGTAACTCACTTCTGGGCAAGAAGTGTTTTGCTTTACGTATTGCTTCAAGAATTGCCAAAGATGAGGGCTGGTTGGCTGAACACATGCTGGTAAATGCTCTTCATAGAGCTCTCATTTTAATCAGAACACAGCTTTTTGTCCACATCTATTGTGCACCAATTTCAACTTTGTGTCTTCAGTACAAAATTTCCAATTTGTTTCCCACTTCCTAGATAAAAAAAAGATATGATGTGTCAGTATTACAGTCACTACTGAGCACTACGGTAATTTCTAAGGCTACAGACTTCCATTTTGGTTTCTGCTTGTCTTTGCGTAGAGAAATGCTTGAAGTAGAACATTGAATTCCCTGACATTTTCAGATCCTAGGACTGACTAATCCACAAGGGGAGAAGAAGTACATCGCTGCATCTTTCCCAAGTGCCTGTGGTAAAACAAATCTTGCCATGATCATGCCAAGCTTACCAGGCTGGAAGGCGGAGTGCATTGGTGATGACATCGCCTGGATGAAGTTTGACAAAGAAGGGCGTCTGCGAGCTATCAACCCTGAATATGGCTTCTTTGGTGTTGCACCAGGAACATCCAGTAAAACCAATCCCAATGCCTTGGCAACGTGCATGAAGAATACAGTGTTTACCAACGTAGCGGAAACCAGTGATGGAGGATTCTATTGGGAGGGTCTGGAGAAGGAGACATCAAAGGTAACATTAATGACACAACTTAGAAAACTTTGAGATGGTTGCCCCCAATTTTGGCACAGTCATGCTGGACAGTTTGAATTATTATTATTATTAATCATTTCTGGTAATGACACCAAGGATTTCTCAAAGGACCCCTGGAACTGTAGCTCGCAAGCCTGAAGAAACCTGTAGAGAGGGGACAGTGAGAAGCAGTTACACTTTAAGAGGTGGGAGGAAAACCCCAGAGGAATATTCTGGGTGAAGCTCACAGAATTGGGTAGGGACTGAAAACCACATCCACATGTAGACCGGGCTGAGATTCGAACCCAGACCGCAGAGGTGGAAGGATCAGCATTTTGTGCACTCTTGAACTTAATGAAGTTAAACATTATGGGTTTGGTTTCAAAACTTACTACAATGTTGAAAATTGAAAAAGGAGATTTTTACAGATATTTGGTGAACGTTGATGCTTTATTGCAGGATGTATCCATCACCACTTGGCTGGGTAAGGAGAACTGGAGTAAAGATAGCGGAGTACCAGCTGCTCATCCTAACTCCAGATTCTGTACACCTGCATCACAATGCCCTGTCATTGATCCAGCTTGGGAAGACCCGGAGGGGGTACCCATTGATGCCATTCTGTTTGGCGGGAGAAGACCAAAAGGTAAAGGAAATGGGCGGGAGAGTTGGAACAAAAATGTCTGTAGAATGAGATGAAGTCCGGTGGGACATAGAAACCTAATTAAAATAAGAACTTGAGATTTTTTTTTTGTTTGACACAGCACAATTTAGCAAAGATTTACTCAAAACCAACAACTTTTAGTAAAAATAAACCTGTTGATTTTTTTATTTGAATGAAATGGTCAGATTGATGTAATTTTTTATTATTATGCAAAAAAATATATTGTTTCTGGTGATACCTCTGAACATCTAGCAAAGCTACCTTATCAGAAATGTTGTCAGTTGGCTGAGAATATGGCTGTTTTTTTCTGACAAGAAAACTTGGGTAATAATTGAAAGTTCTGAATATTGGTTTCCACACTCTTGAGATTTTTGTGTCTTTGGTTTAGGAGTCCCTCTTGTGTATGAAGCATTGAATTGGCAACATGGAGTCTTTGTAGGGGCTGCTATGAGGTCAGAGGCTACTGCTGCTGCTGAGCACAAAGGTGAGAGGTCAAAAGGACAGTATGTCAAAAAAGTAACTCATCACTTATTATTTTATGCATTTAAAGTAAGAACATTGAACTGACGTACAAATTGTCAGTCTGTTCATATATCATCTACATGTACTTGAAGCTAGCTTTTGTTGATTTTTGGATTTTTCTTTCTTTTGGCAGGCAAAGTTATAATGCATGACCCGTTTGCAATGCGACCCTTCTTTGGCTACAATGTCGGCCAGTATTTCCAGCATTGGTTACATTTCCAGCATAAGCCAGGCCTTAAACTGCCCAAAATCTTCCATGTCAACTGGTTCCGCACCAGCGAGGAAGGCAAGTTCTTGTGGCCTGGTTTTGGTGAGAACATCCGGGTGCTTGACTGGATCCTGAAGCGGTGTAATGGAGAAGATATCGCTAAGAAGTCAGCTATTGGACTTGTTCCCAAGGAGGGTACTCTCAATGTTCATGGCTTGGACGTTGAACCAGAAGATATGTATGAGCTCTTTCATCTCCCAAAAGGTTTCTGGATGGAGGAAGTCCAACAGATTAGGAAATACTTTGATGATCAAGTGAACGTGGACTTGCCTGAGGGTGTCATGTCTGAATTGAACTCATTGGAAGATCGTGTAAAAGCCATGTAAAGTGGCCACGAACTCATACCTCAGAGAGCTTCATGTGTTGTGCTGCATGATGCATTGTGTTTTATCTGAAATTGGGATTCAATCCTAGTGTTGAACATATTTGAAGTGTTGTAACTGCTAAGGTGGACCCATACCGAAAATATTGTGATTAGATGAAAAATACTGCTGGAAATGAACTCAAAGCGCTCTTGAGAGGGAACCTAAATGCCCAAAACAAATTCATCATCAAAGTGTGGTGTTAGGCCAGCTTAGCTACTTCAGAAATTGCCTCAAGCCTCCTAACTTTTTAAAATCAAACTTTCAAATTTCTTCAGAATTTTATGTTACCAGTCAACCAGATAACTTACACATAGACTTGCAGAATCAAAGCTCAGATTTACTTTATTTTTAATGACAACAAAGAACTTTATTTTAATTTTTCTATAGCATAGCAAATAATACTTTTCAAGTATGGTAAGTTGATTGAAAGAATTGCAGCAGGAGTTTTAAAAATTGATATTTAAACAATATCTGTACATTTGTTTATATTTATCCCATAGTTTGATTGTTGTTGCAAAATGTTCTCTTGCGAGGTTTTGTATGTAAGGAAGTGTATGTGGTATATTCTGGACTGTACATGTATTTATGTAGAAATTAATGTCCTTCATAAGGACTTAGTAATGTACTACTAATCCCACTAATCCAATTTACTACAGTCTGCTCAAATCTAACTGCTTGTGTTGGCAGCATATCACCATAGCTAAGGCACTCTTACTTCATGTAGGCCTTGATGTAACAGAAAAAGTTTAAAGAGTATACCCACGTATTGTGCAAGGGTGGTTCGGGGGAAGTGGAGGCTATGCCCACTAACAAAGCCACTATATTTTTTAAATGAAAGGTTAAGTTTTCGCCTTTTTTGTTTCCCTTTCTCCTAAAAGCATGTAAAATGTCTCAAACTGTAGCCTCACCCCTCAGAAAGATCATGAAAGGATTCATCAAAAAATCCAACTTGTTTGGGCCCCCAAAAATCAAATTTGGTGGATTGGCCCTTGGTATTGTACAGAGTTTGGTTGGCATTGATTCTGAAAGCTTCCTTGTAACAGTGCCCTAGGAACAAGGGTTGTCATTACCTTAAAATGTTTTGCCTTGTGTTTAAAATACAGAGCACTAACTCTAGAATGTTACTTGATGTAATTTAGCAAACATGAACCTGAAATTAATGACCAGTCACTAATTTTAGATGGTTGGGCATATGCAAATGCAAAGAAAATGCAAGTTGGAGTATATGTAGTCTTGTAAAACCTCCTGTAAATGGTTTTAACCTTTGGTGTTAAGTATAACTGTGGTATCCGGTTCGTAAGTGACTTCGTCACAAAGGCAGACGCACCCCAATTTGCAGGCTCCCATTGGACTATCGTTGAAGTTCGCATTAACTTCCCATTCCATGTAAACGGCGATCAATGCTTGTAACTGTGTGCAGTGCATGTGCAGTGGGCGTGGTTTAAACTGAAGTGAAATCACACTTACGAACCAAATTAGGCTGTCAAGACCACACCTTTTTCAGCTGAGCTTGCACATCGATACATCAATAGAGACCATAGGAATTGATGTGGATGGAGTTACTTAAAAAACCCATGTGTTTATGCAAGATTATATTGATGTGAAATGGACATTGCTTACAGTGTGCAAGATAAAATAACCTCATGAAGGTGTGACTTAACCAACTAGTTTTTCCAAGCCACATATGTATCCCACATGTATACCCATTTCTAATGGTCCTGAATATCTGCAGTGCACGCACTGTAGCATTATAAAATGTTCAGCTTGTGAATATAGTTCAAGTCATGAATGAGACTTTTTTGCATATTCATGTGCAAGACCTTGCAATGTTGGAGGTGTAGTCCATGATGGGTTCCCGCAAGACCATCAGAAGCTGTTCAGTTACAAGTCAAGTTGTAAGCTATTCAAATGAATTGTAACATGTATTCCTTTGACGGTTTATACATTGTTACTTGTGACTGTTTTATGAAAGGATTTGTGAGAAGACTTGTTAAAGAACTTTTGATGGACAGCACGCTATCATTATAGAAAAATACTGAAACACTTTCTGACCTGTACAGCTACTTGTGTATGCTACAATTTAGTGCATGGTGCACAAACAAAACAATACAAATATCTTTAGAAATGCGGTATAATAACTGTTACCATTTTCTGTGGGTTAGAGGGAGTGAAAAAAAATGGGGAAAAAAGGAAAGTAAAGCTTTGCTAATAAACTGTTCAATGGAATATTATTAAGAACCAGACATAAGGCGTACACATTAAATAAAATTTTTGCAGGTAACCTGGTTTTACTCCTTTTCTCCGATTAATACCAGAATGGTTTTCATCTGTGATTGGGAATTGTTTTCTCATTACCATTTAAGCCTAAGAATATTGTACATATAAATGCTTTCATTTTACTGTCATATCATAGAAGATAAGGTTGACACTTTTGAAGAGTTTATCAACACTTTGGATTACGATCACTTTTCTCTTCAAAATTCATTAAATGCTCACTTGCGAAAAAGAAATTGAGTTGAATTAAGAAGAAAAACTGACCTTTGTCTTTGCACGTTGTCCTGCGCCTGCAGGTTGAATGTTGTCTTATTTTTTCTTGGTTTATATAACTGAACTTTTCATTTCAAGAGGAAATGGTTTTTCAGATTGTATTCTTAGCCGTTCGTGTTGTGAAAAGTGGAGACATAGTGCGAAGGGTCCAAGATAGTGATTAATCATGTCTCAAGTCAATCACAACCTTATTACGCCTCACTGTCTTTAGTAAGGAGCTGTGGAAATGAACAGTGACAAAGCCATCTTTTACCATTGTTTATCTTTATTATTATTTGGCATTTGACTTGACCTGTTAATAATTCCAGTTGGTGAACCTCATTAGAATACTTATGCAGTATTCTGAACTGTAGTTGGAATATCCTTAATATCAACAAGCTATAGTAATGTATCATATATAATACTTTTATTTAGTTTGAAAGATGAATGCGCAATCTTTCTTTCTTTTTTATAATGTAAATGCCCCAAGTGCACTTGAAATCTCTCTATAGATTGGAATGTTGAATTTTCCCCAAGATTTTGCATTTGGGCTGTATTCTGTTTGTGAAATTTCTGTTAGTTTTATTAATTAATGTCCTGTTCAAAAGTGTCACGATTGAAAAATTTCAAATGGCACTGTCTTCTTGAGTACGTTTCATCTTTGTCAGTATTGTTGAACAGTTAAAAGTAATGTCATTGGAACTAAAATAACTAGATGCATAAATAAAGTACGTCCAATCGCCTCATTCCCACAGAATTAGTTATATAGTGCTTGTTATATATTTTTTACACTTTGGGATAAAGGCAATAAAATAACGTATGGTTTTGGTTTTTTCTTTTCTTTTTGATAGATTTTTGTCCACGGTTGTTATTGCTATTCACTTTGCAACAACGTTGCGACGAATTTTATTTGATGTTTTGTTGTAGACAGAAATAAAGATTAACTTACTCAAGTATTTTAAATCTTGGACATTCTGTCATTTTACTGTCACGTTTATCGTAGGGTCCCACTGATTTTTTTTCCCTTCACAAACACATTTTGTACCGCTTTCTGCTCCTTTTATATGATGTGTAAAACTATCTGACAAACCGTAAATTTAATTGTACTGAAAAGTACACTTCTTTAAACAATATTGTCTGTGCTTTGTCGGACAACTGCAGGCGCTGTTGCGATTTCATTCTAAGAAGACATTATTCAGTTTAGGGATTTTCTGCTTAAACTGTCAACCTCAAATTTCTTGGAAGAGGTTGCTGGTTGGCTTTACTGTCATGTACTTCCACTTCGATGAATCTTTAAAGAAAGAATCACTGACAGCATAATATCCAAAATTGAAATTCAAGCGACTTTGTGTCTAGAAATAGCTGTAACAAGAAGACCTGGGTAGAGTGACACCACTTGTCCAAAGTATGAAGTACACGTGACTTGAATGAGGAAAAATATGACAAAGATTTTTTGAAGGACTGCACTGAAGTAATGTTTCTTTGATGACTGCTAAAACATTTTTACAATAAGAAAAAACAGGTGTCTCTGTTGAAACTTGATAATCATCGAGTGCGGGTCTGTAGTTCTCAGGAAATGCGGGCGGAGGAAGGGGTGTTAAATGCCACAGGCTCGCTGGGGTCCCGGGGCAGATCTCGGAAACATGCTGAGGTTTGAAGAAAAGCGACCATTAAGCGCAGAAAAGACTTAAAATATAAAAGTTTTGACTTTAACAAAAAAGTTGAGAAACTGAAATTTTTCAAATATTCATTACCACTTCTTTCAAGACTTGTTCGTGACCTGTGAGCTGGGTATGCAGACAAGGAAGGTGAGGCCATTTATTTGCATAACGTACTTGTACATGTGTAGCGTACTTGTTTACATCGTACTGTACAAGTGTATATTGTATACAATGTCCAATCAGCTTCGCGATTGGTCTGACACGCCTCCTTTTGACCCCCTGTGTATTATGAATGCCAGTCATGATTGACCTTTCGTTTGGCACGCACACAACGTACAAGATCACAGCTGATTCACGCCAAGGCTGCGCTGTTGCAGTAACAAGTTAGCAGTACCAAACGGAATAACAAACTGGGCACCGGGGTAAAATGATGACAGCTGACGTGATGTGCACTCCGTAATCGAAAACACTGAGAAAATGTTAGCATGTACTGTACACAGTGCATGTATGTCAGTTTTATATAGCTCCGTGGCAGGGTTACGATATTCTCACGATCGGCATGACGTAATGATGGATTTTTAACACGCGGCAAAGGGGCAAATTTACCCTTGGTGCTATTCAATAATGTACAGAAGTTACCGGAGAATAGCCCCATGCCCATGGTTTAATATGCCAGGTATTTTGGCACCACTAGTGCTAGTCGCATTCTGGATCGGACGGATAAATCAATAAGTCGTAATAATATAACTATTAATAACAACATAATTAATCATCCATAAATAATTAAGCTGATAGGGATAATCAACTCAACTGTTAATACACAATTTACTCGCTGACTTACTTTGGGACTGACGTCTGAAGCGGACAGTCTGAGTGTGAATGGAGGTCTAGTAAACAATGGGTTGACTGGTATATGACTGGGGTTCCTTGTCCTCTTCAAGGCTATTCAATCTATCATGCGCAATAGATGAAATAAGGATTGATCTACGTATGTGTAAATTGTCTAATTAAGCATCATTTGAATTAGGCAAAATCATACCAATTTTTATGAGCCCTTATTTACTTTGCTCATATTCAAAAAGGTTTGGAAGAAACATAAGACCGTTTTTTTAGTCCTTGTATTCGAAAAGTGACATCTGAAAGAGTATCCAAAGGACCCCCGAGATATCATGTAAAGATCTGAAAAAGGTGTTTAGTTCACAAAATTTATTTATTCCCAAACCATATTGTAAATAAGCCGACGTTCACTCCAGACATTCCCAGAAACTTCCAATGCACACACAGTACGAGGACTACGTGCACTTGGTGGGTGGCAATTATTATTCATTGTGCTTCGCTAGCCAATCAAAGCCAAGCAACGTCTGCCCTAGTACGTGCAGTTTTGGATGTCGAATGATTTTCGCGCATTTTAGGTGAATCTTCAGTATTTGCCAGACAGCATCAGGGTTGCTGTTGTTTCGGTAGGATTCTCTTCGTTTCAGGGATTTGTTTGTGGCAGTAGACGTCTGCAAACGTCCTAAGGTGAGTTTCGAGTCGCTTTTCAAAAGTGATGTACTCGTTTGACGGGGGTGTTCTCACAGGCGAGGGTAAGGCACTTCGAAACAACATCCAGGGTCGGCACCTGCGCTGCGGTCTTCATTCATTAAATGAAATTACATCATTGATTGATACGCGTATACTCGCGCACTAGTACTACGATGCAGTCAGGGAGTCCACCTGGACAAGGCCAGCCGGCACCCATCCCAGGTATGTAGGGGCCCGTGACTGCAGTCATTGGGGATGCGTGGTCTGTTTTTATCATGATGGTACATGTACATACGGTAGGCCTATATCAAGTTCGTTATGGCGTATACAACTTAGTCCCAGCTACCAGACTTTATGAAGAGTTCGGACTGTGGTGGATCATGGAGGAATAAAACATGGGTGGATTGTGTTGTTATTTGTCCATGATGAATGCAGACAAGGTCAGTGATGTGTAGCATGCAGAGGAACCTAGTGAACAGGTGAAGGAATAGCTGGGACCTTGATGCACATGTGCCCTGGAGTGTGAGAAGGATGGGAGGTGGGGGGAGGATGGGTAGGCTGGCTTTTGCTGGTAGAGGAGACCCTAACACCAAGGAAGATGGCTCAGGTATGGGGGAGTAGGGAAATGTTGCTGGGGGAAGGGGGGTTAGGCTTCACGTGTAGCAGACCCTTATGCCGGGGGGGGGTGGTCTTTGTCTTGAGTATTGAGTGCCAGATGTCGCTGAGCTGGAATCCAACATCTTCCGGAATTGTATCATACTGAAATATCTTGAAAGCTTCACAGATTTTTCTGGATAGCCAGGTCTTGATGGGAGTGATGAGTTGCCTGGGTGGAGTCCCAGTGAATCTGATGGTCAGAGATGTGGGTGTGCTTGAAATGTCATGAATTAATGACATTAATTGGGGACCCTACTTCTTAAAACGTTTGTTTCTGTGGGACCCCATCCCAGTTAATCACTTCTTTCTTTTGTATGTACTGTGAAACATTTAAAATAGTGTGTAATTGTTATTTATCCCTTCAGGTCAACACAATTAATTACTGTGTTAATTAAAAATTTTGTTCGTATTCTTGATCCTTGTTCTGGCAGAATGGCAAACTTTCCCAAAGTCATCAAGGGTAGTTTGGATGATCTTCCCAAGAAGGTCAGGGACTATGTTCTTGAGAAAGCACAGCTTTGCCAACCGGATAGCATCTACATTTGTGATGGATCCTGGGAAGAAAACATGTCACTTTTGACTGAGATGGAGGACAAAAAGATCATTAAGAGACTCACTAAATATGAAAATAAGTGAGTTTGAGTTACATACTTGTCTTATTCAAGTGATAAGTGATTTTAATCAGAAATATTTTAAAAGAGCATAACTTATAACTATAAAAAGTGCCGTTTTAATGACTGTTATTAGAACAAACTACCCCCTCGCCCCCAAATCCTCAAAACCCTCGAACACAAGGACCACCCCGGTTTCCTTATCAAGACTGCCTTGTGACATGTCTGTTCCCTTTCACAGCTGGTTAGCTAGAACCGATCCAGGTGATGTCGCCCGTGTGGAGAGCAAGACAGTGATTTCAACTCCTAAGCAGCGAGACACTATCCCAATTCCTAAGGAAGGTGTGGTGGGGAAAGTTGGCCGATGGATATCACCAGAAGACCTAGAGAAGACATTGGGAGAGCGCTTCCCTGGATGTATGAAAGGTGAGCCGACTGGTGGCAGTAGAAGGCATTGCCTGTTACTCTGTGGGGGATTTTGTGTAATCTGCTAGCCACAACAGTCACTGTAACTGTAAGGTATATACACGTAATATACTCAGACAAGGAATGTGACGGGACACATATTTCTCTTTTCTGCCACAGCTTATAGCTGAAGTTAATTTTTTTTGAACGGTAAATGATAAGAAACCCTGTGAATATTTCTGAGACCTAAAGTTTTGGCAAGGAGCCGGATACCGAACACAGGGCAAACCAGCTATAGACACACAGGACATACAGGTAACAGTTTACATGAAATAATGGACTACCGCATCCATTCAACATATTACCATTGTGGCCACACCAAGGACACTATACTGTCACAACCACGACATGAACCCGCACATGTGGGCCTTGACCCCGATACAGGTGAGCTAACTGTACCTGACTGCCACAAAGACTACATGTAACACACCGTCCCTTCACATTATCAAGTTTGCCCCAATGAAACCGAAGGGCACCGTAAATTGGCCCCAACGAAACCGAAGGGCACTGTAAATTGGCCCCAACGAAACCGAAGGGCACTGTAAATTGGCCCCAACGAAACCGAAGGGTACCAAGACCAAAATTACAGCTCTTAATTGAACAAATAAACAATGGAAATTCCCCAAGTTGGAAAACGAGGGGGAACATGCTACTGAAGGGCACTATTGTTAGCTCAATACATTTCTACGTTATTACTACTAGAAACCAAATGATAAAAGTTAGCCTACTGAATTAAATTTATGCTCTGTGAAAGTTGTTAATTTCCTTTTTTCTGCTACAAACTGCTAGCGATAACAGTTCAAAGTGGATCTTAACCTAGCCTGAAGCAGCAATGAAAAACTGGTGGAGATTTGGGGGAGGTGGCGGGTTGAACAACTTGTTTGAAGACAAAGCTGTGACAAATTGACAAATTTTCCACATGCTCCTGCTAATAAGAAAGAGCTGGGCAGCCTGATTGGCTGCTGGTTACCTCCACTGACCAATCCATGCTCGTACCCTATGCCACTTCCAATTGGATAGCTCCGAAAAACTCGGATTCCTCAAAACCAAATAGCTTGAATTTCTAGTATCATCAGTCTGAAACAATGGATTTGGCCAACGGCACATAACCATGCGTAAGCTGGGTAGAAAGCCTGCTCATGTGCATAACGGAGAAGCACGGTTACAGTGTGCCAGCATTCGACATACATGCACTACTGATGGGGTCTCTTGCAATGCATGCACTGTGCATCATTTTCCTCAATCAAGACCCTGACAAGAGTTTTCATGCCCTTTCTCGTGAACTGGATGGCCACTCACATAAGATCAAGCCTCCGCTGAGTATAAAGCATTTGATCCTTGACTTGATAAAATGAATCATCCCCGGCATATTCATGTCATTCGGCTTGCAGTACTCAATACTACAAAATATTACATATGGTAGTCTGAGCCTGAAGGACCTAGCCCTACAATTTTTCCCTGGCTAGGGCACTTCCATTGCTACTTGTACAGAGAAAAATAAAGTCATGCATTCATAGTGCCAAAACACTGTATGGCACATTGTCTTATCTATTGTTTTTATGGCTTCAGAGAACAAGGTCATGTCCTCTTACAAGTGACAGCACTGTATGCTACATTTTACTACTAAGTAATTTTTAGTTTTATGTCGGGTTAGTGTTAAGTATGTGACCTGCTCTGTGTACATTATATGGTAGTTCTAGTGTGTAAGAGGCTTGTAGTCTTGGTGGACGCTGTTTATTCCTACAGAAATTTGATAGTCAATGTGTGATTGAAATGGTGCTGCAGGGCTTGAGGCTTGTTGTTTATTTCGCCACTGAGACTGTATAGTTATGCTTATAGACAGAGATTGTTTATAAGCTTTAGTTCAGCTTTCTTGTCTTATTTATTTGAGTGATACTTCCTTAAACTGATCTCATTTTCATTAAGTATTTATTGAAATTGTCATGCAGGGAATTTTAGCTTAGCAGTACTGGTCTAGAATTGTAGGACTTGATGTGTGACCTAGGATTTGGACATTTATGGTACGTACATGTAGAATCCAGTAAGACTGGTTGATTGTTCAACACTGTATTTTGTGGTACATTCCTACAGGTCGTATCTTGTATGTGGCACCATTCAGCATGGGACCCTATGGATCCCCACTCTCCAAGATTGGTGTCGAGTTGACAGACTCTCCCTATGTTGTAGTCTGTATGCGTATAATGACTCGCATGGGCAAGAAAGCTCTAGATGTACTTGGTGAGGGAGACTTTGTCAGGTGTCTTCACTCAGTTGGTCAGCCACTTCCCATGAAAAGTAAGTTACTGTAGAATAACAATCAAACCTCAGAATATTGTTAGATTTCTGTTTTGCATAACTATCTAAACTTCAGCATGGCTAGTTGATTCAGTTTACACAGGTGTCGGAAAGCATTGGGATGAAACTTAAGTTTGTGACTTGAGTCCAATCAAGTTGTTTTAAGGGGATGGTTTGAGTCAAGTCACCAGCTCAAGTCCTGGTGTGTGGTCAAGTAGAGTCAGATTTATCTTGAGTCAACTAGATATTTAAATACTACCTCAGAAATTAACACAAGAGAGACAGAAACTGCACTGTGATGCAGCAATTTTTAGTAGTTGTTAACTTCCGAAATATTGAAATAGTAATATCTTTACACCATAAATCAAGGTATGTAATTTTTGGACAGTTTTGAACTTAAGGGTTGTTAACCTTTGTCATGAGTCAAGTCTTCTTATGAGGGACTTGGGTAAAACCAACACCATATGCTTTCAGTGAGTTGAATCACTTATTGGGAATTACCCAAGTTCCTAATTTTCTTGCAGTATTTTACTGCAGGAAGGATGCAATATGATCAAAAAGCAAACTTTGCTATTTTATAACTTACAGGCAAGATACATGTACATGTGCAGTGTATTTGGAAACCTAAACAACAAAATGAATTCAGTGTGAATATTAACAAAAAGAGGCAAACCTTTGGCAAACCAAGCCAGAATTGTATAAATGTTGCCATCATATCTCTTAGTGTTGTTCATCCCCTAACTTCAAATTCTGATTCCGTCTGATGAATGTACAGCTCTTTTGCATAATTTGTTTGTATTTGATTTGATTAGCCCCACCTATTAACAACTGGCCATGTAACCCAGAGAAGACCATCATCTCACACATCCCCGCCAATAGGGAGATCATCTCCTTCGGTAGTGGCTATGGTGGTAACTCGCTCCTTGGCAAGAAATGTTTTGCTCTGCGTATTGCATCTTGCATTGCCAGGGATGAAGGATGGTTGGCTGAACACATGCTGGTGAGTGTATGCAAAGACAAAAACAAATTAACATTGTTCTGTTGTATGTCCTTGAGTATTCTTTTGTTAACCTGGATATATCTTGATTATTGATTAGCCCATACAGTGCATAGTAGGAAACATTTGATGTGTGTTATATGTTGCAAATTGTGAGTGAACTTGCCAGCTGCATTAGGCTATGTCTTAAACATGCCCTTTGTCTTCATACACATAACTACAGCTATGCACTAGAAGTGGTGTTAACCCCAATTGCAGGTATGAAATGCCTCGACCCCAAAGGCTGTAGATTCTTGTAATCTGACTTGACAAGAAGCACCTGCTCATTGGTTGAAAAGAGCTATGTGCATGCTGGTCAGGAGTGTTTGTTTTGTTGATAGCGACACACACCTAATGTGTGCATCTCATAGTCTGTTGTGAACCAGCAAAGTGAAGTTCCTACCAAAGGAGCCTCTGTTGCTAGGAAAATCACTCCCCCTGTTGTCCAGCTTGAGGCAGTGCTACAGGATTTAACCACTGCATCAGTCTTGCTGCACTTGGACAGCATGCTACTCTACCAGTTATCAGTTTGCCATTATAAATGCACACCGTTGAAAGCTTTGTGTGCACAGTTTGAGATTTCTTCTGTTTTTTGGGTGATGTTTTCCTGCTATATTTAGCCTAATTTTGTTCGTTTATCTTTGGATGTACAATATGGTGGGTTTCAACCATTCCATGTTGCTTAGGAATAAAGTGAAATTCATGCAGTAAGATTTTACAGTGATTAAGTTCAGTTTGACATTTTTAGATCCTTCGCCTGACCAATCCTCAAGGAGAACAGAAGTATATCACTGGTGCTTTCCCTAGTGCTTGTGGTAAGACCAATCTTGCCATGATCACACCAAGTTTACCAGGCTGGAAGGCAGATTGTGTTGGTGATGACATCGCCTGGATGAAGTTTGACAAGGAAGGACGTCTACGTGCCATCAATCCAGAGAACGGTTACTTTGGAGTTGCACCGGGGACCTCTTACAAGACCAACCCTAAAGCCATGACCACGTTCCAGAGCAACACAATTTTTACCAATGTTGCAGAGACAAGTGATGGCCATTTCTATTGGGAAGGTTTGGAGGATTATACACCCAAGGTAATGGCTGCCTTTATGAATACAACCTGCAAATTTTGTGATACATTCAGTTATCTACAGTGTAATCTGAACCTCTGTGCATACATGAAAGCTCCTGCTTCGATGCACATGCATTGTATTCTTGGATTCATGTATGAGTTATCATAGAGACTTGTGAACATGTATGAGTGATCACCTTATAAATTAGTTTTTTCACATAGAATTGTTTAATTCTGTCTTGAAGTAAATGTACTGAAATAATAGATTCACAGAGTTTGTTGCCTGGTGTCCTGTGAGTATCCAGTGATCGTGTTCATATCTGAAACCACAGGCTTACAAATTTAGCGCTGGTTTGGTCTTTTTTATGCATCTTATAGGGTGATTCCAAAATTATAGGACTGTGTATCATTGCAAGCACCTAATCGCATTTGAAAAAAATTGTAGTAGTTTTTAATTTCAGTAATAATACTGTAAACCCTGCTTTCCCAACAAGTGTCGACTGAATTAATGATGTTGTTACTGTTTAGGATGTGTCTATCACCACCTGGAAGAATAAGGAAAACTGGACCAAAGAAGGTGGAGAACCAGCGGCCCATCCCAATGCACGATTCTGTGCTCCAGCAGCACAGTGCCCAACCCTTGACCCAGCTTGGGAGGATCCAGAGGGCGTGCCCATTGATGCTATTTTGTTTGGAGGACGAAGGCCAGAGGGTAAGAGAGAATATCTGGTGGATCTCTACTATAATTCTGTATCATTTTGACAGGGTAGCGGCCTTGTCAGTTAAAAACTGCTATTATTAGCCACTTGCTGCCAGGGAACCCCGTTTCGGGCACCATAAGTTTATACGCAGAGCTGGAATGGGACAAAAAAGCTGGTCCGTGTAACGAAAGACGATACTTCAAATAAAAGACCTGCTGCTGGGTATTGCCACCATTTTTCGGCTTGCATTTTCGAAGGTAATTTGTCACTGTTTTTAAACAGTATACCACTGTTTTGGGCATAGCGTGGCCCCGGATTAGCACCGCGGACAAAAGTGCTCCATTGATGAGCTAATCCAGCTAATTAGCTAATGCTAATCCAGCCGCATTTGAAAAGACACCACTTGCGTTCACTGGGAACAAGGAAATTGCGCAACACCTCACAAATTCTGGGCTCTCTTTACAGGTCAGCAGGCCTGGCTGAAATACTCAGGAGTCTATGAAGGTTGCCTGTCAGCTTAGAGTAGCCACCAAACAGTCATTCGCGTGGGTGTAAACATCCATAAGATGAAATTATGAATTTTTAAAGATTTTTGAAAACTGAAAATCTTGAAAATGGCCCGTATGTGTGTGCTGCATTTTTAAAAGCACCCAGCAGCAAGTGGTAAAGGGCCCTAATAGAACTTAGAAAAATCAATACAAATGAATTTAAAACAATTTAAAAAAGATTAATTAATAAAAGAGAAAGATAAACAGAAACTCAATAGCAGTTGAACAAAACAGGATTTCTATATAAATTTAGATAAAATAGCAAAGATTATAGAATTAACAGGTAGTACATGTACTTAGAATAATAAAATAAACATAAAACATATACTTAATGAACGAGAAAAGAGTGACAATTAAATTAATTTTGAACAAAACTTCAGTTAACGATGTTAAAATTAACAATCAACACATAACATACAGTTAATGGAAAATGAAGTAAAATGTAAAAGTAAGAGAAATATATATATAATGTATAAACTTTAACTAAAATCAAATGGAGTTAAACAAGGTTAGATTAATATAATCTACAACTTAAAAATTTGTGACAATGATTAAATTAAGATAAAAGATAATGTTAAGGTTAAATGTTAAATAAAAGTCAATTAAAGGAGACTTGAATCTAGAGAGGGACTCAACCTGTCTACGAGAGGTATATAGTCAACTTGTCCCGACCCGAGGTCCCTAAATATTGGAATGTGCATTTGCCTGCATTAGTTTTAGGGTGATAAAGTATGCATAATGAGCTATTTGACAGCAGTCAGGTGCGAAATGAATTGGTTTGAGGTTCAAAGCGAGAATTAAAGGGGATGGGCCGTGCTGGGAAGATTTCTTTTAAAACATGCATCAACACATAAAACAAGCATATATATAACAAGAAAACACATCTGCATAATTTTAAATATGCGGAAATTCATATGTTAAAATTATAGTTTTCACAACCCTATTTCACTCCCTTCTCGGAGCAAAAGCTAAACAACAGCCGTCGGGTACAGAAAGTTGTCTGAAGAAATTCCCAAGAATTGTGATGTCATAGGACAAAGTCCTTTATCAGGCGACTGTTTACTGTTACGTAATGACGCATGGACATGTATATGTACGTAATGTAGTAGCATTAGCGTTAGCATGTACAATCATGTCAGACTCAAACGACGATAATTCAGGGTCGATGCTTTCTCTGATTATGTAACAGCGATCAGTTGTCAAGTTCGTCTTATTCATTTGACGAAGAAAGCGACATTGAAGGAGCTGATGAGGCACAAGAAATACTGCCTTGTCAGTTCAAACCAGAATGCACTCAGGAAGAAATTTTGCAACTCGAGGCTGTTGGCCATGGGCATGGCGGCGATCTGGAGGATTAACAACATAACATTGACTGGTCATGATTTTTTCCTGCACCGTTATAAAAATTTGTCTTTCTGAAAGGACGTAATTATCCTACCATTGGCTATTCAATAGCTGTATAGTAGTAGTTTTTTGTCCATGGTTATAGGCTTACCTACTTCGTCAAAGTTGATGTTCCATTCCGACAATTTTTTTCACCGTGCACTGCGAGTCACTTGCTTCGCATCGATGCATCGTGTGCGTGACGACCATGCGACATTATTTGCACCGGAAAATAGTCCATGTGCGCCAGTACAATATAGTTCCATTTTACATGGTACATGTACGTGTAGTACATGTACATGTATGGGTGTAATGTACGTGTCGGTGCTGGTACATAAACATGCACATGCATTTTGAGTCCTCGTAAATATTGTGTGCTATCCATAAATCTAACCCGCAAACCCTGGTGTGAAAAGTCACTTGGGAATCTACAAAACTGCTCTCTGGGGAATTGTTTTGATTGCGACAACAGCCACCGACAACACAGTGTATCGGCATTCTTTTGAAATTCACAATTCACTATAGGAATTATTACATGTGTATGACGCGATGGTTGACTTGACACGTACGAGTTATGTATCCAACTACACGCCAGAGCAGAGAATATTATTCTTGTCTGGAAAGTCGAGTCCGTCCAATGACGTTACATTTTTGCCAAGATTTTTCTGCTGCCCTCATTGACCGAGATTGATAAGTTTTTGTGAAGGGCCCAGGTGGAGACTGAAAAAAGCACACAGAAAACATCAATTTTTGCTGATTTAATGACATAAAAAAATGGGTTAATCCTATTTTTTGTATATACATGTAAGACGGTTGAAACTATCATATAACGTCAATTTAACTCTACATGGCCCATCCCCTGTAAGGTAGCGAGGATTAAGTTTTCTAACCTGCTTGTAGACTTCACACAATCATACAAGCTAGAGTTGAGGGAGTGTGGTCCAGGAGAGGGCCTTGTGTAAGTCAGTACTGATGTAATGAGCATTGAGGATTAATCTAGCGAGTCGATTGTGCAATTTAACAAGTCTCTCATTATTGCTGTTAGAATAACTTGACCACACAACGTTACTGTAATTGAACAAAGGCAACACCATGGCACAACTAAGCATTGAAAAAATTGAGGCTGGGAGGCAAGGTTTGGCAGAACGTCAAAGAAAACCAATTTTGTTTGAAATTTTCTCAGCAACAAAATTGATAGGTTCCGACCATCGACTCATCCACATGACCCCTAGATATTTAAAACTACTGACACGTTCAATAGCTTCTCTGTTAAAGTTGATTTGAATGTCTTCAATGTGAGGTTCCTGAGAGGGAATTAGTTGACGTATAATCTTGTCTTGCCTTGTCTACTGAAGACATGACAATCGAAATGAAAATTCTGTGGTGAAAGTTGCACAAGCAGAAGCTTGGAAATGTGGTAGGTACTTCAAGTCATGAAATGGTCATTTGGTTGGTTTTCTTTTCAAAGGAGTGCCGCTTGTGTATGAGACATTCAACTGGCAACATGGTGTCTTTGTTGCAGCAACAATGAAGTCAGAGTCCACCGCAGCTGCTGAGCACAAAGGTGAGAGGTCAAGGTCGATATACTTATGAGTTTTAAGACCAACATTAATATGTTATTGAGCCTAGAGGTTTCATTTGTTCAATAACTATAGACAGCTGCTATAGAATCGCCCAGGAGCAGACTGAATCAATCTCATGGCCTATAGCTTGCTTTTTTAAATTGGAGTTTAGCTTTAAGATGGAGTTGATGAAGATTTTCAAGAGCATTTTTGTTTATCTCAGTAGAGGTAAATATTTCTTTGAAAAATGACTGGAGCTGAAAACTCTCAAAATTATTGCTGGGCTATCATGTGTGCTGTGAGTTTGGGCATTGCCATGCACTGCAAGTAAAGTGATGCCAGCAAAATCGCAGTTTAAAATCAATGTGAATGGCATTTGGTCAGCGTATTTATGCACTATTATTATTTATAAATGGTTTTCATCCGGGTATTTTTGTTGGAATAATTCATTTCCAGGCAAGAAGGTTATGCATGACCCTTTTGCAATGCGTCCCTTTTTTGGCTACAACATTGGGGATTATGCCCAGCACTGGCTAGATTTCAAGGACCAACCTGGCCTCAAGCTGCCCAAAATCTTCCATGTCAATTGGTTCCGTGTTGATGATCATGGCGAATACCTGTGGCCTGGGTTTGGTGACAACGTCCGTGTACTGGATTGGATCATGAAACGCTGCAATGGAGAAGATGTCGCTGAGAAAACCGCCGTAGGGTACATCCCAAAGAAAGAGTCACTCAATGTCAGTGGGTTTGACAAACCAGTTGACTTAGATGCACTATTCCACCTCCCGAAGGAATTCTGGTTAAATGAAGTCGAAGAAAATAGGAAGTACTTTGAGGAGCAGATCAATGCTGACCTGCCTCAGGGTCTTAAGGATGAGCTGAATACACTTGAAGAGCGTGTCAAGGCAATGTAAGGCGTACATTCTGCTTTAACAGGGGCTTGCCCTTTCAAAGCTAGTTCTGAGCTCAGAGCTCTCTGAAATCCAGTGAGAGGAAAAATCCAATAGTTGATGAAGGACTGTGTGATATAGAATCCTCGATAGAGCGAGCATTCGACTACTCATAATAAAGTAATTTCAAGATCAAGTTAATAAATCAAGCAAGTTGGAGCGTCTTTGGGAATACTGAACATACAGCACTAATATGACGCTTGGAAGGAGCTTATTCCTGTTTGTGAAATTTACAAACCTAAATGCACAAAACTACCATCTATGGGAAGACTGCATGACTAGTGCAGCTTATGCAGTATACTTTACATTATAATGTAGTTGTGACTTTTTTTGCATTTCTTAAAGAGGAAGCTTTCATGAGAGAAGTAAAGTTTTATGAAAAGCAGAAAGCTTAGAATTATTGTAGTGCTAGAAAGAGCAGATTGTCTGCAGAAATATGCTGTTTGACAGCTCAAAATATATTTTCTTTGGTACTATTAGGGTTAAAGAGAGACTGAATTTAGCTCCTTGCTACAAAGTGGCTGAATGGAGCAAAACATTTGGAAGTAAATACAATAATATAAAACAACCATTTCACAAACCATGGACCAAAACAAAACAGTACTTTTAAACACAAATAGAAGGGCGTATTAGTAAATATTGGTGTGTGTTGACTGTCAACATGTGAGACCAAGTCTGACCGTGAATCAAAAGGTTGTCTTAAATGGAACATTTTATTTGCTAATATTGTAGTGAATGTGTGACTTTAGAGGATTGATCTATCTCATGTATTTCTGAATAGTGTACATGTATTCCTCAAAATTGTACTTTATAATCACATCTGGTTTTCATTTGTTTTTTATCCACCTTTCTTATGGGTTGGTTTATTTGGTTATGTGATGGTACAGTTCTTTTCACGTCAGTCAATAAGAAAAAGCAGTACTGTAAGTTAATTTCATGCACTTGCCATTTTTGGAGGTCTGGCAGTCATAACTGTGCTGTGGCCATTTCAGTTTTCTTATGGAAAAAGACCAGTTGGATTCGTGTTTTACTTCAGTATTAACATTTTTGTGCATGTGTAACATGCATTATTGAACTGAATCTACCAAATTAACAACTCCATATCTAAACCATTTGCCTTTGTATTGCTGTTTTTAATTTGAAACATATTTCTGATAATGCAGAAACTTTTGCCAAATCAGAGAAATTACATGTACTTGCATGTGTAGCTGCAATGAAATTCCTAGACACAATTGTTCTCAACTGTTTACTCATCTTCCATATACATGTATGAAAACAATGCGTCCTTTTTAGCTTAAATGCATGGAAAAGTGCATTTCAGAATTTACTCACTAAAGACAATTCTAAGAGTTGCTGACTTACATCATCACTTGCCTCACTGAAGAAAAGAGAAAAATTGGGCCACTTATCCCCATTCCTGGAATGACATTTTAGTTTAGCTCATGACTGTGGAAATACTCATCAGGATTAAAAAAACAATAAGGCAGCCAAATACCTTTTGAACTAGTGAAACGAATATTGAAAATGAGGTTAACTGAGACACAAAACTTCTTTGCAGGATTGTATTAAAAAAATTATTGCAGCTACCCTTAATTTCAACAGAATTTTGATTTTTGTCTTAGGCCTGAAATTAGTTCTTTTTTTACAGTTCTCACAAGTATGAATTCTTCACACAAATATATTGCATAGAGAGCTTTTAAAAGGAAATTCAAACGAGTTTAATACTTTGAAAAGATCTATTCAGATAAAAGTAGATTTTATTGTATTTTTTCACAAGTCCAAGTCAATTAAGTGAAATATCCAGTATATATTTAATAGCTACAAGCAATGATTCTCTTCAGTAATCCTTATATAAGGATTATATAAGCAATGTGTTGGCATCCAGCTATGGGACTTGGGGATCATTGTACAGAGCTGCATGCTGAGCTTAAAAATTATTTGAGCATAGAAAAGAAATGCTTTAATAGCTAAAACAGGTCACTAGCTAAAAGATACGGTATATACTGCTTGAGAGTGGTGCTCTCCTAAACATTGCCTAGCAGATAAATTTGCCAAGAATTTCTGCTAAACTATTCTGTGCATCTGGGTCCTGTTTCTAAAGATTTCTGTGGCTCTGAATGTAGGTGTTAACCATTTGCTGTTGGGTGGATTTTTCTTGAGCAAGACAAGATGCCTTGTCCTTTTCAAGATTTTTCTGTTTTCAAAATGCTTCAAAAATTCATCATTTCATTTAATGGCCGTTTATACCCACATGATGGACTCTTTGGGCACTACTCTCAAGCTGACAGTTAACCTTCACTGACTTTTGAATATTTCAGCCAGGCCTGCAGCCTTGGAAAAAAAGGCCAGATTGTGCGGTGCTACGCAAGATTCTTTTGTTCCTGAAACCGGCACAGTGTACTTCTGACCTCTTTTCAATAGGGGCCAGATTAGCGCGCAGCAGTGCTGTGTGGCTTGTCCCTGCGGTGGTGGAGAGCTTTTGTCACTGGTGGTAATCTGCTTGCTCTAAATGCCTCAAACCATGGTATACTGTTTCAAAACAAGGCTGGATTATCTCCACAATTGAGAGCGAAAGAATGTTGGTAATGCCCAGCAGCTCAGTCTTTTGTGCTGAGCACAGTCTTTTGTTATAAGGCTTAAGGCCCATCTCTTTTGTCCCAGTTCTGGGCTCCCCGGCTCTGCATATAAAGCCTATGTACTCGAAAATGGGCCGCTCGGAAGGAAGTCATTAAAATATAACTAACATACCAAAGCATGCAATGATGTATGGCTGATTGTTAAGTAGGATTATGTTATACAAAGTGATGAACTCTATAGCTCTTTCCAAAATGTTTACACCTTGCTTTGATACATTGTATATGCATTTAAACTGTTTGAAAGCAAATAAAACAAAAGTAGTTGAAGCAAACATTGCTAGCATGCTTTGGTTTCATTGCCATTTGTACATCAGATTGTGAGGCAGTTTACATGGGTTTCAAGTTCTAAATGAAATGGGCTGCTGTCAGGTAAGTTTGTACAACAAAGATACTTGTTATTCTGAACAAATCCCTGGACTTATTGATGTTAACAATTGTTCTCTATACTGACACCACCACAAGGTGTCCATATGCTGCCTTTGAAATAATATTTATCAACAAAATAAAAAGTTCGTGAATCTTAACATTTGCTAACAAAGTTACTATTCTGCTGCTTTGCTTGTTACTAGAAGACTGGAGTTGGTTATGTAGACCGAACTGCTGAAAGGCCTGATTACTCTTTGTGGTCGAAGCTAAATTTGCCAATCAGATTTCTTGCTCTTGTGATCTTGTTCATGACAGACAACTGACGAAAACGTAGCCAGACAACCAAACCAACCACATGCCATCCACTTCTATATCCCAGTGAATATGAACAGTCTGATGATGATCCAAGTGTCTGGTTCTAATAGATTGATGGCTCAAACTTGGGTCCATATAACATACTCCAAGAACTAGGAATTTTCCAAGGACTGCGAATTCTTTGTTGACTGCTTTCTGGTTCCTGGGGACAGAATACAAGAAAATATCAAATTCAGAAGTGAAGAGAATTTCTTTTTTGTTTTGTTTCCCAACAAAAGTTTTTAACCTAGGAGGTTGCAATAGGTGCAACAGGTGTGAATATTTCTGTGACCTTGTTATGTATACACCAAAGATAGAGCTTTCAATTATGAAACGGACGTAGTTAATTGAACAAGGTCACTGTTGATTTTTTATGGTAGATGGAGGGCTTAGATTCTGAGGCAATTCTTGAGATGGTTGATTTGCTGGAGTCAGGATGCTGTGTAGACTTCTCACGTTGTACATCTGACGGTGAAACTAGACACATTGCTGAGACACCAACAGCTTTTTCTCTGCCCTAATTTAAGGTCAGATCAGCTCGTATGCAGTGTCGGCCACTTTTGTTTAGAAAAGGTCAATGGCTGATACTTCACTGGGATTTTACCCTCTTATGTGCAGCTCCTTTTGGCAGGATTGCTGACGGTAAATGAGTACACTTTATCTCTGGCATTACAAAGCTTGGCTCTGAGAATGGAGTTTATGGTCCTCAAACATTTTCAAGCAAGCTATTTCAAAGGAATAATGCCTTAACCACTTCGTGCTGGGACCATTTATCCATGTTGTTTCTGCTGGGCCGGGTAATGTTTCAATTTTTTCTGTTTTCAAAATTCTTTAAAAATTCACAACTTCATTTACTACACATTTACACCCACACAAATGACTGTCTGGTGGCTACTCTAATTTGACAGACAACATCTATTGACGCCTGAGTATTTCAGCCAGGGCTACCGCCTTGTAAAAAGAGCCCAGATTGTACAGTGTTATGTAATTTTCTTTTGTTCCCAAAACTGGCCCAGTGCGCTTCTGACATATTTCCAATAGGGGCCAGATTTAGCCTGCAGCGGTATTGTATCGCTCATCACTGGAGCGCTTTTGTCCCTCGTGGTTATACCTCGTGGTTATACCTCGTGGTATAATCTTTCAAACAATGACGGATTCCTCCGCTATTGACAACTGAAAAAATGTGGAAATTCCCAGCAGCTCGGTCTTTTGTTATAAGGCCCAGCTCTTTTGTCCTGTTTCGGGCAGCCCGACATTAGGTATAAAGAAACAGAACCCGAAACCAGGTCTCCCAGCCACAAGTGGTTACCAAATAAGTTCTTTGTTCATACCTGTACCAACTGAAGCCACTGGTTTAGATGACTGACCATTGAAAGAGCGTCTGGAATATTGTCCCCTTCAGAGCAGAACAACAGAAGTACAGCAAGTGGAATGTCTTGTGAGCAACTGGAAATAAGAAGATTAAATTTAGGAAAATCAAACATTAAAACATTTGGACTAGTTGACTCACAGGAGGAGGCATTCACATTAGTCTTAATTTTGATTTAAACCCAAACAGTTAACTGTACATGTATAACTGATTGGAAACTTTCAACAAGGATTACAAACTCACCAATCTTCAAACAATTTCTTTGCAATTCCCCCTCCAGGGATATAAATGCCCCTGGCATATTCTGGTCTACCCTCCTCATTTGAAAATGGTGGAGCCCACTGGTTCTTTCTCTTTTCTAATTTCTTCCAGTGCAGCTGCTCTGAAAGGACTGTACCAAGTTGTTCTTCCAGTTTGGGGGTGGTTAGATATCTGAACTGACTCCTACGAAAAGAACAATCACATTTATTTAAATAACACTCAATTTAATGAGAAATAATGCTCAGTCAACAACACGTGAGAAATGGCCACTACAAATCTTAAAATTTCACTTATGGTGATTAACAATGTTCTTTTTACCTAGTGGGTGTATAGCATTCCATAATGAATGTTGTCACAAAGAGAGTATAACAATTGAAATAAAAGTTTATTAATAAACAAGGCTGATTCAAATCGAAGTTGATGAAAGTAATTAAGCTGACTGGTTTGCTTGAAGAAGCTAACATGGTGTGTAAGGTGACACACTGGTATATCAAGCATGTCTTAACATCCTTACTTTAACCAAGTCCAAAAGTTTCAGCTGTGGCTGAAATTAACACATGTACTTATGGAAGCCACTATTAAGGGCTGTGGCTACTTCCCATACAAGTGTACAATTACTCCTAGCCACAGCCAATATTGATTGGAATACTTCTTTACCCTGTCAATTGTGCATCTATTCTCTCATGTGACTGGCTGCTGGTAAGTAGGATGACTTTTGAGAATTTGGCATCTTTGATCCAAGCCAAGAGCTTTCTCCTGAAGTCCTCATGCTTTCCCTGAACAGTATCGATAAGATTTTAAATGAAAGCTATCTTTGGTTTGGATAAAAATGTAAAACAAAAACAATAAAATGGAAAGAAATCCACAACCTACATTCAACATGGTCCAAAAGCAGGTAATTTCAGTTAGATCAACCAAATGACTATCAAACTCCTGGGTGCTCTTGGATTAAGTAAGCCATTTAGAGATGGTATAAACTTTCAAGCAGTTAGAATGTTATAATTTTACCAAATTACTTGGAAATGAAACAAAATAGTCAAATTAATAAAAATTCACCTTGACCAATGGTGTCCGTTGTTGAACCACAACAAGTCTCCTCTGCTTTGATTCATAAACTACAATGGAGGAAACGTGAATGTCAAATCAAGAAAGAAATTTGATATCTTCCAGAAGGTCTAATTTTTAAGGTTTCTTTCACTAGCCACCTTGGTGTTTCTTTGTAACTCTATCCTATGCTATTAAATTCTCTCTGATAAGCAGTTTATATGGCATTTGTTGAGAAGGTTAAACTGCTACCACAGAAGTACTAATCATTTTACCACTGCGATGAAAAAATAAACTTTTGAAAGTAGAAGATTGCTACCTTCAGTGCTGGTGACCAAACATCCTTCAGTCATTCCGGCTCTCCCAAACGGATCATGACCACACAACGGTAGAATGCTGGCATCATGAAGGTACCCTGCTCTAGTCAGCTCTAGTGTAGAGATGAGAAGATCTGCTGACAGCTGGGCTAAATTGCCAACAGATACTGCTGGCTAAGGAGTCAACAGTTAATAGGGTAAAAAGTCAGTGAAGTCACTCTTCTTTTTTTGATATCTGAAAGATTCAAGTTGCTGCCTTCTGTCCCCTCTGTTACAGTGTATGTGTAACTCATGACCTTTGTCATCTTTACTTCTTCAGCAAGGTAAACACTAGTAGGCCTACCAGAATATCATGCATTGAGTGCAGTAACAATGCTGACCCACCATCACCCTATCTGCCCCGAGTTGAAGTGCACCCCGTATCAGCGAAAGAAAGACACGTGGTTACAAGTGGTTCTTGCACGCGTTCTACGTGTACGTAAAGACCATACATGCCGGAATAAATTAATTACGCGTACTCAATGTGATCCATGTCAAACGGGCATATTTTGCACACCTCACGGTGCGTCTATGTAGTAAAAAAAAAACATGCCCTCTTTTGTTCCGCTCGGAGTGGATAACCTGTATCACTTATGTTCTTCTACTACTATACTCAGCAAGGTCCTTAAGTTTGGATAACATGCCAAGGAAACTTGATACGCACGTGCAGTGTAGGTGCAAATCAGTGCCAACATGTGACCAAAGAAGATACCGACTTATAACTTAAGTGCAAGTACAAAGGAACCATGAAGTTAATAGATTGGTTACTCCCACGGCTCCTCTAAACACCTCATATGATGGTAATGATAGGGTGCTTCCAAGGAGGGCATTCCAAAGTGACAGTGCGAGAGAAAAAACAGTAACGACAGAGCAGTATTCAGCTTTAGGCTGGTATCTGTTGATACTTTGGATGCTATAATGACTAGGCCTAACTTTACTACAATTATTAAACTATTGGTCATGCTGGTACTGATAAAAGACCAGGTTAAACCTTTATCAGTTATTGCCATTTATCATCACCTCAGTTGGCATGGTTACCATAGTTACCACCAATCCTCTTTATACACCATAGTCCATACACATCTCCCACCCCTGCCCTCCAGGCTAGACCCTATCATGCCTGTTTAACGTATCCAGTATTAGCCAAGCCGGCTAAGCCAACACTGTCAAAAAAACGTTAGACATGGTCACGCTCACTCCACAATCTCAGCATTATATAAATGTCACTAACAGGACTGATAAATGTTTACCAAAATTAGAGTGAATCCACTCCAATTATTTGACGAGGAGGACGAACTGATGAACATAATCAACCTCACTGTAGCAAAACTAGTTAACTTGACCTTCAAAACAAAACCAACGTGATCTAATAATAGCGCCACCAAGATTATGTACAAAAGTTCATGAGTTGACCGCACTGGCCGATTTGGTCTGGTGTCCAGTCGTAGATGTGTTGATTAGCTACAAAATTCTATTGTTAAATATGATAGTATGGTGTGCATCTTTCCCATGTTTACATGTATGTGGTGGAGAACACTGTATCATACGGTCGTGCCGGTCAAGACCGTTGTTCGTCCGACCCAGCTCCTCCAATTTCTATGTGAATTCGGTGACTGAATCTCTAGAGACGGCAGATAGTACCGTGATTTATTGCAGTAACACTGCTATTGGCGCTAACACTAATCATGGCAGAGTTGGACATTGGCAAACATTGCAGCGTCAAGTCTTGTAAACAGCTTGGTACGGTTTTGATTATGTTACGCTCCAACTAGTCTATAGCATAAGTCCCTACTATAGTTGGGACAGTCCCAACTGCAGTGCTGCAGTTTGGCTGGCCCAACTATTGTTGACCTATGTTAGTGGGAACTGTCTCAACATTATCCAAGTCAATTTGTCTCACACTTGACACAATTCATCTAAAATGTGGCACTTCATCTTTTCATCTAGCCCTACATGTATGACCGATGACATGACATTTGTGAACAATATGACTTTGGCACATGCTGGGCACATCATGCACACAGGACCTCTCTGCTGTAGTTGGGCTGGCCCAACTGTAGCACTCTAGTTGGGACGGGCCCAACTATATTTGGGACTGATGCTGTTGTTGGGGCATAACAATTGTAGTCATCTTCAAGTTCAACAAGTCTTGATGACAGGACGGTTCATATGCGGTCATGGATGGGTCATGGCGGTGCAAACATGGTGAAAGCAAACATGAAGTTGTGACATAAGATCAAATTTAGCACTGCAAAATGGGAAAAGTTGAACGCTTTTCAACATTCAGCAAAGTTTTGCTGCGTAGGCCTATCTTTTGTTGTGTTATTGTTAAATTTTGTTTTGCTTCCACCTTGGCATGCTTGGCCTGTGTGGAGTGTCAACTGGCCTGAACACATGGCTGAAAGGCCGGTTCATACTTAATTTGTGAGGTCAGATCAATATCTTACGTGACATCATATTCTGCTTCGTTTTACATTCGGCTGTAGGGGGCCTACATGTAGTATCAACCCGCCTAAAGACTTTTTGTTACAAGGCCTGCATCTACATGTATTTTAGTTTCCTACATGCCCTAACCTGCATTTTTCATGTGATCTTATTTCAAACATTCTAAGATTCAAAATTTCAGCCATAGATGACAGTGCTAAACCACTTTAAACTGTAGACATTGTTTTTCCTGCCTGGACCAGCATGCGCCAGTAAGCAGCAGGCAATCAGACCATAGGGTGATGGGGTGCAGATGTACGCAAATGTATGTAGACGTGTGCAGAGATACATGTGCAAATGTTTGCCCAGTGATTTAGCATGAGTGGATGTTTTGCCAAGGATACCGCAAGTCGAGTCAGCATCTGGGCCATATTCGTGGGGCTAGTCGTATGCTAACTTCAGTAACTTCAGTTCCCATTGCCACAGTCAATAATACACATTACACTGGGAAAAATTACTCCTAGAACTCTGGAGTTCATGATCAGCATCATTCATGCAAGTTGGGTGAACACTGAGTACCAGAATTCTAGGGGCAGGGAAAAATTTGGATTTCCCGATGTCGTGAGCATTAGGCCTGGAGTTACTCTAGCTAGAAATATCCAATGGTATTTTGCTAGAGGCTCATGGGGAAATTCCCTGGCTGTGTGTTAATATGTTCTCAGAGGTCAAATGTTTAGGTATCAATGAGATAGACTTGAGTAAACCTTTTGAGCAAAGTTGGCCAAAACCTGTGGTGGCTGCTGTCTTGAGCTGTGAGTCAAGTATATGGATAGTGCATGCACAACTGTCTTACCTGTGGCCTTCCTGTGTCATTGTTGCATTTATTGATGGGATCTCATCAAAGCATGTTGTTACAGAAAAGACATACAACAGCCATTGCTGAGTGCATGACCCATGACCTACAGCAGAACCAGGCAGCCACCATGGAAGTTTTTGTTTGGAAGTAGTCCAGTAGGCATGTATGAGCCACATTATGGAGCTAGGGCAAACTATACAAGGGCCTTTTAATTTAATTCCTGAGCTATTTTTCAAAGACTGTCTGATCAGGCACAGATTTCTAGCTAATCCGATCAACGGTTTTGTAAGGTATGACGTCAAGGTTGAAAGCTTCAAGCCTCATTGTGCCTTTGATTCTTCCTTTGGGGCAATGTTTTTATAGTATTAAGTGGTGCCAAACAGTTTCTGCTGTGTGTGTGTGAATGTATGAATTTAAAACACCATGCTGCAAGTATGAGACCAGTTCACAGCAAAATATACATTTTGTTGCTTGATACCATGTTGTTGGGTGCTATCAAGCGATTGTGTTTCCAGCAAAGCTACGTTCACTACATCATTGTCAAGGGTTATGTTAGACCTATAATTTACAAACAAGGCTCTTGATAATTCCACGCCAAAACAAAGTATCAATGACAAATAGTCAAGTTTCGTTCCAAGAGCTCTATTTAGTGGTCTGGTTTCTTATCTTACTTGTTATTTTTTTTCACATGATTTGCATACTACCTTTAACTTTATTCCATAAACTGTCATTTGTTTTTACACCAATTGATCCATTTCTCTGATGTTTGTTTCTTGCACAGATTTCTTGCCGTTTCAGTGCACGGGATGCTCAGAGATCTTCTGGTATGTTGGTCAAATTTCTTGTTAAAGTGTCATTGATTTAGTCATGGTTGACCGCTACACACACCTGATGGTGAGTGCTACAGACACCTGAAGGTGGCCTCCACAAACACCTGATGGTGAGCACTGAAGACACCTGATGGTGAGC